TTATTTATTTCTCTTTGTAAACATAATATGCAATTAATTATATAGTGTATAAATATCATGGTTGCTGAGTGCTTTACTCACTCAAGCACATTCAAAAATTTTCTTATTCCTATTTTCACAGCTTAATAAGGAAATGAGGCCATTGATCAGTACACTAGGGATGTGCATCATTGTCAGTTGCTTGACCAACACATTTTATTTGACAATGAAGAGATCAATCCATGTGCTTTGTCCTTGCATGTAAGATGGGTTATGACTTATGAGCAAGAAGGATAGCTGATTGGTCATCAGTGTAAATGTTGGAGTTTCCGCCTTCATTGCTGTCTGCCCCTAGTCGTCTAAATCGTGGTATTTGGCTTGCCTTCATTGCAGTCTCCAACACCTTAATTGTGTTGGGTTTGAAAGGTGGATTTAGTCCCACATTTCTAATAGATATGACATCCGTTGTGTTTATAAGTGGGGACAATTCTCACCTTAGAAGTCGAATTTGTAAGTTTGAGTTAGATCCTATCTATATTATGAGATGGCATCAAAGCCTATCTAAGCCTATTCTAGATCACTTGTCAGACTTCCCGCATCGTCCATGCTTAAACCTCATTGAGACCCAAGCATGAGGGGGTGTTGGAATTTACGGCTTCATTGGGTCCGCCCCTAGTTGCATAAATTGCGGAAGTTGGCTTGCTTTTATTGCAGCCTCCAACACCTTAATTGTGTTGGGTTTGAGGGATGAATTTAGTCCCACATTGCTAAGAGATATGACATGTGTTGTGTTTATAGTGGGGGTAATCTTCATCTTACAAACTAGTTTGTAGGGATGAGTTAGACCCAACCTAAATTCTGAAAGAAGGAGAAGAGGGGACAAGAAGCTCTTGCAAGAGAAGTTTGAACCAAAGAATACCAGTTGTGGCGTCTCTAATCACCCTTAGTGCTTGACCTAGCAACAACATGCTTTCTTGACCAAACATGAAATGAGATTTGATCCAAAGAACATGGCAGCCCCAATAGTTAATCTTATGTTTATGTCATCAGGATCTGCTGCCTAATCAGCAACACATAACACCTTTAGGGAGAAAGGGTTATGGATGAGAGCATGATAGAATTTAAGCCCAAAATTGTTGGTACCCTTCAGGTATTTTAATATTCTTTTGACAGCAATCTAATGGGACTAGACATGGATTCGCATACTTTATTTTAATATTCTTTTGACAACAATCCAATGGGATTAGACATGGATTGGCATTCTTTGTTGACCACATAGAATATTTCAAGAGAGTAATGGCGGCATAGTGGAGAGGTCCCACTACATATCTGTAAAGTGATGGATCTTGAAAAGTGGTTGAGCCAACTTTGGAAAGCTTGCAGGTACACATTTGTTCAAGTTGTGGGATTTTTGGTAAAAGATGGGAGAAAAATGTTATTGATAATAGTTTTAAAGGAGTAAACAATATGTATTTCCTTGATATGTCAGTAAATAATACATGAAAGATATTTATAGAATACAAGGGACAAACCAATAAATACTAATCTGACCTGAGAATCAAGACAATTATTTTCCCTATAAATGTTAATTCTAAATATGGTAAAGGAATTACTAATTATTAATAGCTAAGTACTAATTATTATTTACAATGGGTGTTGGACTGTATAACACAGAATCCATTGATTCGTAATCTCTAATAACTTCCAACAAGTTTATAGGAATGCATAGACTTAACCATAAATCAAGAACAAATCATGATAATAATAATTAATATAAAATTTATTACTAAGAGATATTTTAGAATACTCTATATTAATATCAGGATATTTGATAATATTGTAACGTCCCTCTGCCAATCCCATTTAGTATAAAGCTAGGTTGTTGTTGTAACTTAACACCCCCCTCAAGCTAAAGCTTACTAACCCTTAAGCTTGTTACACAATTGAGGCAACAATCTGAGGTACACGATTAAGATTAATCTTCTTTTGGCATCATCACAAGACCACCTCCAAAAAAAAATACTAACCCCAATATGACAATAAATTAATGGCAAAACAGGCAAACACTTAATAGAAGCAACAATTCATAGCCTAACCACTTCATTAAGAAGCAACAATTCATAGCCTAACCACTTAATAGAAGCAAACATGCTTAGCAATATTAGCTCAGTGCTCACTATGGCATTTGATGCCCTAATTGCATTACACCCCAACATGTTTGTTATAAAGAGAAGGTCTCTAATATATTTGCTGCGAGTGTGAAGGGAGTGTCATCAGGGAGTCTCTTAACTTCAATGGCAAGAAAGTATTCAAGAGCACCATGTTGCTTAAGAGTAAGACTAAAAACAACATGAAGTTTCTGTACTAGGTTCCTGTGATAATTATATCATCCACATATACCAAAAGATAAATAACTGTGAAAAGGGAAGGATCACATCTACTTGCTTGGAACCCAAACTGAACCAAAGTGTAATTTAAACAATCAAACTATTGTGCGGTAGGATCCTTGCTCTTTAAGGAACCCATTAAGGAAGCCACTATTGATGTCTATATGTTGAAGAGGCCACTTGTTACAAGGATCAAGAGTCATTTTGAGTCTTATCGTAATAAGGTTTGACCATGTGGAAAAAGATTTCATTAAAGTCAAATCTTTGAATTTGATGAAAAACCTTTTAAAACCAAGCAAGCCTTGATCTTTTTAATGGTGCCATCAATTTTTTTATTTTTTATCTTATAAACCGACTTGCATATAATGGATTTCGGATGCAAAGGAACAAGATACCATTTTTGGTTCTTTTAAAGAGCATCATATTCTTCTTGCACTGGTGTAGGATTGGAATGTGGACGGGCAATACTAAATTTGGAACGAGTTTGCATAGGGTGAGCATTAAGAAGCCTATGAGGATTAAAAGTAGTTGGTGAGCTGAAATGGGGTCAAATAAGCTAGCATCAGTGGGCATAGAGGAGGGAGAGGTACTAGTACTTGGGAGAGGCACCGACTAGGTTGTCAATAGCACGCTATAGCGGCATAGTATAGTGGTGCGGCCCCTCACTGCTATGCTATTGACCTGCGAAGCACTATTGCCGGTAGCGGTCATAGCGGCCGGAACTGCTATTCTCAATTTGGAGGAAAATGTAAACCCTAATATTTTAAAATGTAATTTTTAATTAATCTTCTTTAAGGGTATATTGTTCTTTCCCACCCTTTTAGTGACCTACTCCCTCCGGTCACTATTATAAGCAAAAAAATGACCTTAAATCTTGGTCACTAGAAGGGTGGTCATTTTTTTCCATTTCACCGTTTTTTTTTCATTTTGTTTTGTCGTTCTCATCTGCCTTCGCCATACTCCTCTGCCTTTGCCATTCTCTACTCCGTTCTTTGTCGTTCTGCTCTGCTTCTTCATCGTCCCTCCTTCTCCTCTGCTTGTTCCATGTTCTCTTCTTTTTCTCCATTGTCTTCTGCCTCCTTGTTCTGCTTCGCCTCTCCTCCTTTGCTCTGTTTCTCTCCCAAAGTTAGTATTTAACTCTTATGCTCTCAGGATGAAAATGGAATACTGGAAGAAGGTTTGGTTTTGGGAGAAGAGGGTTTGTCTTGGGACGTTGCTGGTAATACTGTTCGGGATAATGAACCAACAAGAGTTACTAGACACCAATCTAGACTTGCTACAATTGTGCCTAATTAAGAGGAGTTGGAGGTGGAAGAACAAGATTTTGAATCAAGTGATGAACATGATAGTATTAATGTGGTGGAACTTAGAAGTGAAGATGAGATGAGGCAGAAGCGGATGTGATTTAGAACTAGGTTTAGAAAGTTCATTTTTGTTTACTTTTAGAACTTGGTTTAGTCATTTTGAAATCTTTCATAATTTGATTTTGACGGGAACTCATTTTGATGGGATATAATTATTAATTATTCCTCTAAATCTGTGTGTTCTTCCATTTTTAAGTATTTATGCATGTTGTTGGAATTTATGTTCACTAAGTACATTGTTTTTTTAGTCTTCACAATAGCGGATGTGGTTCGGGGTTACATGCCGCTATCCGAAATTAACAACCTAGGGTACTAGTACTGTTTACAGGATTATCAAAGGGTATAGGAAAGGGGAAATATGAGTTGGTTAAGGATCAATAGAAAGAGAAAGTGAGGAAATTGGTTGGGGTGTACTGTGTAGATAGGAAATGTTTGTAGAATTGTAGTGGGAATTTAAAGGAGCCGAGTGTACATTAGAAGGTAGATTAGTAACATTGGAATTGTGATGACCAATTGGGAGGGATGGCAAGGGAGATATGTCTTTGACATTGAAGGTGGATTTATTAGAGGAGATGAGAAAAGAGAGATATAAGGAAATCTAGACTCATTGAACACTACATCTTTTGAGATAATGAGACCACCGTTTGGGGATATAATTTGTATCCTTTGTGAGAAGTAGAATACCCTCAAAAATGAAACACTCATGAGATCTAAAGTCAAATTTATGAGAATTATGGGGTTGTAACAGGCGGAAACAAGCAGAACAAATTTTTTTGGTAGTGATAATCAGGATCCTGTTTGAATAAGGTGGTGCATGGAACTTGTAATTGTAAAGAAGCACCGAGAAGTCTATTAATAAGGTAAACTACAGCTATAAAGGCATGATCCCAGTAGGTTAAAGCAAGTGAGATTCGAGTAAGGAGGGTAAGACCAAGATCAACAATATGTGTTTTCTCTCAATAACACCATTTTGGTGGTGAGGGCAGATAATTCTTTAATTCAAAAATCTTGTAGTTTGCATATGGCTGCTAGTTTTTTTCACAGCTTGAGTACCACCGGCCTTCCATATTTAAAGGGGATTGTGCAGTTTATACTATAGTTGAAGGCTATGCTTTATATTATAATTGTGCAATTACATTGGCTGCAATTAAATTTTTTAAAGCTTATGTTGCTATTGGCATGCTTAAAGCTGCTAGCTTATTACTAATATTATTATTGTTGTTCTCCGTGTAAACAAAAATTCTAACCATATTTTGTTATTGGCCACCAGCACCAAATAATGTAAGATCGGAATGCAATTTGAAAATAAGCTGTGCTTATTTCATGGCGGAGATAGCTGTGAGCATCCAAAAGGTATATTTTTTAAGTTTCTTGGAAAAATAGTTATTAATTTGCATTAAATGTCATTATTTCTTTATTTAAATTTGTTTTGAAAGCAACAGTTGAAGAATGCAAATGCAGGGAGTTCTACCCAATCACCAAATAATGTAAATGAATCTCAAGTGATAACTTTGCTACGGAGGCAGATACAACTAATTATTTATTAAATGTTAAATAATAACACTGTGCAGTGCGATTGTGAGTTGCAAGGGGCATGTTTCTGGTACTTGACTCTCGTAAAAGTATTTGTTGGAATCAAAGAATCAAATCCATATATTTATTATTAGGATTAAAATCACAGATTAGGAATTGAATTAGCAAATCTATCCATTAACATTTATGGTATTTACTCTACATGCTAATGCTATTATAAGTAGAAGCTGAGTGTGGTCTGATTTATGCACATAGAGATCACAAATTTGACAGTGTCAAATGATTTTTTTTATTCTTTCAGCTTTATTTTGTTGTGATTTATATGCTGAAGGTGAATGTTCCTTAGCTTTCTGATTCTGCAGTAATGGGAATTATGCTATAGACAGTCACTTGGTATTGAGTCCTGAAATTGTTGCCAAGAAAAAAAAAGGCTCTAAGGATACTTCTTATTCAAAGTATATTATAAATAATGTGCCAAACTCTTTAAAAATGTTGCCATCTTCTTCATCCCTTGCAATGACAGGCCAATTCCAGTCTTGATACAGCATGTCACTCCTTATAAATTTGGTGTGAGGAGTGACACTATTTCTCCAAAAACTGAAGTGCCCTTTCTTGTTTCACGCGCTTTGTTGAAGTGCGTTTTGATACATTGTACTGGGTGTTCTGTAATATCTACGTTGGATTAGTTTGTTGGATTAATTTTTTAACTCTTGGGGCATTAATGCATTTTTGCACTGCTCTCTCTTGAATTTAGTAATATCTTATCCTGTAACATTCCAATTTGTAATCAATCCCCCGTCCCTCTTTCCCTAATCTGCTTGTGTAATTTAGCTTTTTTGGTGATGTAAATTTTGCATTGTATTGCAGAGCTCATATTCATACAGACTTCCAGCTGATGATGTGTTGTCAGGTGGCATTGGTTTTGGCCCCAAGACAAATGTTGACCCACTACAAAATACTATTCTTGCTTGTACTCTGTTAGGAAGCATAATGATCTTCATCCCTATATCAAGGTACATTATTTTTGACAGCAACAATAAAAGTATCAAGGTGAATAGTTGTTAATGGCAGGTAAGCCATTGCCTGGAAATTTGCTGCTAGGGACTGAATAATATTGTATTTCCATATCTCTGAGCGAGGAGAATGTTCAATATATATTCATAAAGATAACCTATCATCCTTAATGATTAGGGAATATAATTGAGTAAAAGAGGAAAACAAGAAAATAGTTTGGGAAAAGTCAGTTGGAATAACATCTTAACTGACACCGATATTATTTCACAATAAGCACTCCCCCTCACGGTGGAGAATATACATCTCATGCTTCCAACTTCTCACACATGTAAGTTATCCGAGGAGGCAAAGACCCTGTATAGATTCAGTTAAGATATTGCTAAGTTGATCCTTAGGTTTGATTAAGTATGTTTTGATAGCTAATGAAATGCAATTGACTTCTATATGCTTTGTCCTCTCATTAAAATCTGGATTGGAGGTAAGCTGATTGGTTATTATCTAATAGAACATGCCTCACAAAAAAATAGTTCTAGCAGTAATCATTTTAACCACAAAAGCTCACATGTGGCATGAGCCATAGCTCAATCAATACTCGACTGGACAATAAGTAGCCCGAAGTAGGTTTTTTATCACTCGCGTCTCTCGTTCAATTGATATCTGCCAATGATATTAGGGTAGCTCCAATTAGTGAAAACAAACCCCTTTCTAGGTAACTGTTTGATGTATGATGCCATAAGAAGCCATGACTGAGATGAACACCAGAGAGTACTCTTTGGCATTGTTACTAGGAAACATTTGGATTGTTTTCCCAAACTAGGTTCGAGTGCATCTTAAGAAATTATCAATGAAAGTGACATAATACTTTTATCCTAAAATATAAGGCAATTGACTAGGGCCCCAAACATTATAGTAGACAATATCAAAGGGAGTTTATGTATCTTTGATTGGCTTGCAAGGAAAAGACAGTCTAAGTGTTTGTAAAGCTGACAGAAATAACTGTCGAAGGACTTTAAATGTTAGAGATGAGGAAGCAAACACCCTTTAACTTATTTGGACTCAGATGACCAAACAACGATGAATCAGATCTAGACATAAGGCAGATGAAAGAGGTTGCTGTGAAGGTAATAGAGGAAATTGAGTTGTTAAAAGATTAATGAGCCATGTTATGCGGCCCTACAATAATCTGATTGGATTAGGATACATTTGTCTCGGTACAAAAGTTTTGTTCTCAATGTCATTCTTTGCAGAAATAACTGTTGTTCTTCAATTGGACTCATTTTACAACTCCAACTGCCACCAAATTTTTTTCTTTTTTTTCTTCTCTTGTATACTTTCCCTTAACTACTGTTACTTATTCTTCTTCCTCTTCTATCTTTTCCTTTCAATGTCACACCAAATTATGTGATAATTAACATAATTGTTCTCGTCTAATCCAAGTGTGCTATTTCTTTTACTGTCAATTGGGGCCTAATAGTATTTTTGGGAAATTTACTAGTTTATTTGTGACAGAGAACTTTGCTAGTTGTTTTTGACAAGGAATCAGACTCTTGTACCAACTTGAATATGAATGTCTCACTAATTATGAAAAGGTTTGTACCTGTAGGCCTATACATGAGAAATGTAATCTAAATAGGATTGTGATCTGATCATGATCCTAAAAGATACAAAAAAAATCTTATTAATATTAATATAGGGGAACAGGATTTGTAATTTTCTAGTGAATTAGAACCCACAAATGAGCATGCCTTGCATGTAAAGTATGTATAGCTGCCTTCTTATGTGGCAAAAGTAAGGAATCAAATATATATATATATATATATATATATATATATATATATATATATATATATATATATATATATATATATATATATATATTATATATATATATATATATATATATATATATATATATATATATATATATATATATATATATATATATATATATATTATATATATATATATATATATATATATATATATATATATATATATATATATATATATATATATATATATATATATATATATATATATATATATATATATATATATATATATATATATATATATATATATATATATATATATATATATATATATATATATATATATATATATATATATATATATATATATATATATATATATATATATATATATATATATATATATATATATATATATATATATATATATATATATATATATATATATATATATATATATATATATATATATATATATATATATATATATATATATATATATATATATATATATATATATATATATATATATATATATATATATATATATATATATATATATATATATATATATATATATATATATATATATATATATATATATATATATATATATATATATATATATAAGTGAGATAGGAAAAGACTGAATAGCAAAGTTGGAGGGCGGACCTAGGCCTCTTGAAAGTCTTTTCTGTTTCAATCTATCCCTTGAAAGATTGGACTTATTAAAAGTTATTATATATAATACCATAAATTAATAGATACCTAGTTTGACAAATGTGGCAAAATTTAGGCTTAAAGTCGTGGATAAAATTTATTACTCCCTCCGTCTCATAATAAGTGTCTCATTTGAGTTCTGCGCGATTCTTAAGAAAATGATTAGATGCGTTGATTTTAATGATAAAATTAGTATCATTTACTAAAATACCCTTATTTATTATAGTTAGTAGAGTAGTTGAAGAGCGTGAAAGCTAATAAATAGGGGTATAGTAGTGGAAAAAAATAATAAATATTGTATTGGTATTCTAAAGAGACATTTATTTTGAGACATAAAAAAAGTGCAAATGAGACATTTATTATGAGACGGAGGGAGTAACATGCATGGTTTTCAACTTGAAAGCTTTTCAAACCATGGTTAATATTTTTCTTAAAAGTCTTTAAAGAATAATCCTCAACTATTTATATGAAAACCACTTTTTTTTTTTAATCTATACCAACAGATCTATAATGTGCTTGTGTTAGGGAAATGCCCCCAGTCCTTTTGGATAGGGTTTTTGTTTTGACATGTTTGATATAACCATTTTTTTTGTAGAGAGGAATATGAGCTCTTAGAAGCTGTGCAGGCAAGGCTTGTTGTCCATCATTTGACTGCACCTGTTCTTGGAAATGATCATGATGAGTTTCGGAGCCGGGAAAATCCTGTAAGAACTATGAATTGAATTTAGTCTAAACTTGGCATCAAGTGTTTTTCATTACTTATTGCATCAAAATTTCACTTGCTTAATTAGTAATTACTTGATTATACATTTCAAAGTTAATTCTGAAAGCATTTCAGGAGGAGAAAAAGGTTAATGGTTTTTTAATTGTACTCATTGTTTAGAAAGGCACATGGATTGATTAGATGATACTGCATCATGTTATTTATTTTGCTTACATGTATTTTATAAAGGATGGAGTACCCAAGATACTTGATGGAGACATGTTGACTCAGTTTCTGGAGCTTACAAATATGCAGCAAAATAGCATTCTATCTTTGGAACCACCTGATGATATGCTAAAACCAAGTTCGAAGCCACTCCTTTCCCAATTTTCTGTCAACCAAGTCATTCAACTTCTTGAACGAGTTCATTATGCACTGAACTAAACACACTTCCTGCATCTTTTTTTTCTACAACTGTATGTGGGAAGGAGAATGCATGTAAAATATGCAGTAGTGCAGTTCTGACAGTACTGTCTGTTGTGAATGGTTGCCTGCCTCAAAGTGCGTTGTCGAGTATTAAACATAAACTTATCGTGGGTTTGGGGAAAGGTTTAGCGACCAATGTAATGTAATGTCTTGGACAGCAGCTGGGAAGTCAGCATAACGATTGGGGGACTGGTCTTTTGTGGAAGAGTATCGTGTCTGTCTCTGTTTGTTGTAGTGTTCATAAATTACATTGTTAGGAAAAGAAAACGTGTTTAGCGCAATAAGTTGTACATTAGTGAAAAGTCGTAGATGTTTTTTGTAGTAAATGTTTTGAACAGTAACGGTGTATATTCAATTCAATAAGTAGTATTAGTCTCTCACATCTTACTCTTGATTATTGTGCTATTTAAAGATGATGTCCATTATGACTACCTATCAAATTAACTCTAAAATTGTGATCACTCTAAAAAAATGATTCCGTTACACTCTAAAATGCACGAGTGAAAAAAATGATTCCGTTACACTCTAAAATGCCTTCTAGCTGAAGGAAAAAATTAAATCGATAAACATAAATAGCGGTAAAATATTGAATATATATGTTATATATGTATTAAATCGTATATAATTTACATTTTTGCACGACAATACACTAAAAAAATGATTCCGTTACACTCTAAAATGCATCGAACAAATTGTGATCACTTAAACTTAACTTTTCCCTATTTGATTCTCTCTCAAGCGTGAACTCTATCACCCTTTCCAAAAAGTGATATGGTAAAGTTTCCGCCTCTTTTGCGGAATATGTCCACACCACTGATGTAGCCGAAATAGGAAACCCCGATTTCAAATAAACTGCAATGAAATGGAGCGATCTAAGATATCTAATAAGAATGATGCGGCTGAATGGGTCTTGAGGTAGGCGACTCCTAATTGGGAAAATGTATTTTGAAAAACCATATCTCGTCGAATCGATACACCCTGTCATATGCACTTGCTATAAGATAGTCCATTTTGGGTAAGCACATCCACTTTACAAATGGTACGTTACCGCTAACACATGGAACAAGAACATTGCGATTTTTATCGAAATCTTCCTTTTTCTCATATAGTCGTGTGTAAAGGGTCATATACGCTGCCAACTCTGAAATAAGTGTTTAACACACAAGAGTGTGATTCTCCTCTATTTTACCAAGTAAATAGGACACGACCCGGAACCTGCAATTACCATAACCCACATCTACGATCCTTTCAATGTGTGTGCATAAAAAACAACATCTCATTAATGTTGATAATCGATGGTGGAATGAGTAGTTTTTGGATCGAAGGTGTAAGTGGTGGTTTTTTAATAGGCGGTGTACGAGGCGGTTTGGAAATGTGAGTTCCCTTAAAAGAACTTCTTTGTGATTTTGGGGTTGGAGAATCCGGGAAAGTGAATCAACAACTTCATGGTAAGACGAAGCCTGCTTGGTTGAACTGTCATCTTGTGTACTTTTCACCTTTTTTGGGCACTTTGGTTTTTATCGGTTGTGGAGGAGGTTTAAAATCAGTGGTTTCTAGATATGCGATTTTCCTCAGTTGTTCTTTAATGTGAAATCTCATAGTGTCACCCGCTTTAGAAAATCTATCCATGATCACTCCCAACTCGGTGGTGATGGTTATACTCAATGTACCGTCTTTCGGTGCATCGTAGTCATCATATTAGAGTTTTTTCCAATGAGTGTAAACCTCGTTCACACGTATGAGGAAATTTAGCTTCAATTTTTTAGAAATGAGACAAGCACAAGGAAGCTCGTAATTTTTCCTAATTGTACATTCACACTTCAAACTATCAGGCCCCGTCGTATCCGATTGTTTCGCTTCATGAAAAATGAAATTTAATCCCGCCTAAGATATGTTGAGAACCAACTGCGAGTAGATCGTGTTGTCTTTGAATCAGTGTTCTACCACAGTTATGTACCGATCAAAAGTTGCTTGAATTTCACTATGTTAGTTTTGGAGAATTTGGTTCACTGTGTCTCATTCTCTACAAAGATCTCCCTTGTTATCACAAAACATTTCTTCAATGCTGTATGTGAGAATTTGAATCTATTAGTAGTTGTGTTTCCCAAATGTCTAATCCAGTCCATCCACACACAAAACACGCTTTCACTTGATCAACAATAATAGATTCAACGTATTTTAGAAAATATGGATATTTGATAGATAAGCTCTTGAAATATACAACATTCTCAGCACATAACTCTTCTGTAGAAGAATTTAATATATTCGTCCATCCAACGATTATCTTCTCCAACACAACACTAGATTTAACCATATTTTCATCTTCACCCTTGATTTCTTTGGTGCCAACCACAGGTTTTAACCGAGCTCTGATATTTTTTGTTATGTGATACTGACAAAGTAATGCATATGATGTAGGGAACATATTTCCAACCACATTCATAAGGGTGTTATCTCGGTCAGTTACTATGACACTAGGAATATTTTGCAGATTATTCAACAAACTCTTGCATATATCCAACACCTCTGTCACATTGTCTTCTTTCTCAGATTTCAGAAATGCAAATCCAACCGAAAATGTCTTCTGCGTTGAAGTGACACCAACAATTTTTAGAAGCGAAAGCTTATACTTGTTTGTCTTGTACGTTCAATAAATTATAAGGACGGTTAGGAATGTGTTGAACAACTTGATACTATCTAGATGAGTCCCAAAAATGTCATGGACACTAACTTTATCCTCACACACTTTGTACCTTGAAATATAGTGGTTATCGTCCAAAAGTTTCAAAAGTATTTTCATTTTGGATCGCGGACCTCAATTCACCATGTTCCGTTGTTAACGTTCATTATATACCTTCCTGATATCTAAAACACTTTGTGACCTTTTTTGTTTCAAATCAGCAAGTATGTTTTTTGGTGCAACTTTGATTATCGACATTTTTGAAATAATTTCCTTCTCCTTCAACTTAAGCCGGCATACAATTGGATGACCTTGTAGCTTGGTGTCAAATACATGATTATGTATACCAGAAATGACATTAAACCACCACATATCATCCACCATACAATATCTACGCAATTTAAACGAACATTCACATTTTCTCGATTCGGTGTCTTCATGTTTTAACTTCCGAACTTTGGAACATATTTTCCACTTCTCTCGCATGTCATTGTTACAAATTCTTGCCTTCTACTAGTGCCATTGTCGGACTTTCCAATCACTACACCACACCTGACTTTGCTAGCTTCCATTCGGACCTATTCAAGCATATGTTGACGAGTATCGAAAGTTTGATCATTTGTAAATTATTGTCGAACATCTATCTCGACATCAATATTTTTAACGTCTTCCAGCTTAGCATCGTCAATCACCTTGTCTGAGACCTTTACAACAGCTTTGAGAAACATGATGGGGTGCATCCTATCTAAAACGGGCAAAAACAGAAAATATGTTAAAACAAAATTCTGTTTTTGTATCAGGGAGAGTTTCAGATATGCACATCCGAAATATAGTAGGTGGATTTCGGATATGCATATTCGAAGTGACGATTTTTTTCCACCTCAAAATCATCATCAATGCAATGAAATGAGAAAAGTTTACCTTAAATTTCAATTTTCTATGCTCTCTTTGATATGATAAAACACTTGAAACTTGGTTTGGAGACGAAAACTTGATTGAGAATGGTTGAAGTTTTGTGGTAGGTTTTGGTTATGGAGAGAAATAAAAGAATGAAATAGTGGTATGAGTGATCATGCAACAAGCTGATATATCTACAATACTTTCGGATATACATATATGAAAATACCACTATATGTTTAAATACAACATTCAAATAATAATAACGTGTAGACATGGGTGTTTTTGGGGATGCGTTTCTGAAATACCTTGAAAATTGATTTAGGGTGTTTTCGAAGATGCATTTTTGAAACACCATGAAAATTGATTTAAGGTGCGTTTGAAGATGCATCTTCGAATGACATTTTGGGGGTTTCAGAGGTTTACTTCACCCATATAAAGGTGTATTCAGAGGTTCTCAGAATTTAACTTGCCTACCCCTGCCAGCCCCTGTTATACATAGATTCCATATATTTTTCTATTTTTAAAAATATTCATTGACAAATTTGAGTTGAAAGTGAGGACAAAATTTCTGGTAGTTTATACCTAAATTCCATGTAAACTTAAGTTCATTCAAATCAATAAGTCACTATTCAGAAATATAGCCAAACATCTTTCCCTGACCAATCCTTTGTCTAGGACTATGGACACGTGTCCCAAATGTTTGCATCATGATTAAAATTTCTTATAGATTTGGATTCTCTCGAACCCACTTCAAGAATCGTCACTCATATGGGATTCAAAGCCACTTAGAGTATCTTAAGGTCCACTTTTCTATAGGACTCTAACCCATTTGGTTGAACTTTCTTCATATAGGACTCTAACCCATTTGGTTGAAATTTCTTCATATGGTACTCTAACACATTTTGTTGGATTCGAATAAATACTTCATATATCCAAATTCTACTTTACATAAGCATCACAATTGGAACGGACACGAGTAATGGGTTATTTATGAATACATAACTAGTTCCATCATCACAACATGATTTTACTCATTAACCACTAGATGATAATATTCACCAATATCATAAAATTATCTCATGTTCCATAAAATTAAATTAGTTCACGATTGACTATTGACCACCATCCACACCAACGAAATTATCATAGATTGGACGGTTCGTTTCAAGGAAATACTCGTTCGCGGTACACACTGAGGTAGCTCCACGTCCAAATATCACCATCTAAGTCATTTATCATATCTTAATTTACCTTTACTAATTCATTCACCTACTTATGATCCTAGTTTAAACCTCACTCATTATCATAGGATTTTAATTGTTTATCATACATTCGACACAGACAAATAAAGCATAGTGTAGTTCATGAAACACGGGTA